AACTACAACATAATGAAGTAATCTGCTAGTCCCGACTGAGCAGACTCCCATCCTTTATTTCTCCAATGGGGAGTGAAGAGAGAAAGTGGCTGATGGGAGGAGGATCAGACCTTCCTTGGAGAACTTTCCCCTCCCAACTCCCCTGAACTCTTGAAGTTCCACCTTCTCTCTGCTCTACACAGGCCGTCACTGTTCACTCAGTCCTTTCGCTTCTGCCCCAGAAGCCAGCGAACACTCGGTCTGACCCATCTCCACTACCAGGGACCAGCACCGGGCCAGGCTCGATGGGTGCTTGCCAAACGTCTGTGGCATATTGGCTGGGCTGCGCAGTGAGGCCCCCAGGACCGACCTGTTCCAGTCCTCCTCCTTTCTCATTTGGAACCGAATAGGAGCTGTGCCACCAGCCCCTCCAGTCCCCATGGTAGGCCCCTTCCTCATCCTTGTCATTCTCTAAGATCATCTCGAGGCTATCGCCTCTCACCCTTACTCCCGTCCTTGGAGCAGACATCACCTCCCAGATCCACACTGTTTCCTTCTCAGGCTCTCCGCTCCACCCCCCAAACCATCTTCCGGAACCAGCAGCCTTTGCTCTCCACCCCTGGACTGCGGTGAGTCCAGGGTTCCTGCGGGCCTGGCTCCCTGCCTGTGGTTCCACGGTTCCTGCTCGGCCCAGGCTGTTGCCACTCCAGTCCCTTGGGCCGTCTGCAGTGGAGCCTCCTGCAAACACATCATCTACACAACATCCACCTGTGCTTTGAGGAGACCTGTCAGAGTGGTTGTGTTACAGAACAACAGGGGCCCCTCCCAAGGAGGGTATACTAATACTGTCCTGACCACCTACTGGGCTCGTCTGTCCGCTGCCAGAGGAAAGACATCTCTCAATGCCAGAGCTTTGTGAAAAGGAAAGGAAAGCTTTATTTAAAGCTATACAGACTTAAAGTAGTGACCCAATGTCCCCATTACAATATCAAAGTCCTTTAGGAAAACCACAGACACCCACAGCGCTTCCTTTTCCCCTGCCCTAGTTCAGGGTACCGTATCTCAGGAAAAGAAGCACCCATCTGTGTTTCAGGTTGCTGGCACTATCAGCTATGTCGCCATCCAGGCAGGATCTCTAATTACTCCAAAGCCATGTAGCACCTTCTCATTACCTATTGGCAAAGAGTTTTTACCCTTTTTCTCCTGCCTTTCAGGCCATGTGGCCAAAGGGAGCACCCTAAAGCTGCGTGGGCCTCTTCTACCAAAGCTGCAGGGGTCTGCACTCTGGCCAAAACCTCATGGTTCTTTTCTTTACCAGAGCTGTGGAGAGGATAGGGTCACCACTCTGGCAAAGCCGCATGGTACTCCTCTGATTGCTGCCGGGTCTGGGTTTTAAATCCCCGTGCAGTCCTCCTTCGCAGCCCCATTTCTGACTCCTCCTACAATTGGCTACACTTGTCAGGACTCCTGTATCCTTCTAGCTTTACTGGGCTGCCATTGTGAGTCTGCACAGGTGTAGCCCCTTGTCGTGGAGCCAATCTTCTCCAAGCTCTCATGCAGTCGCTGTAACTTCAGGGGACCTGCCCCAGTTACATCTTGGGTGGAAGTCACTTCCATCCCTCTGGCTCAGAGCATGGCCACAGCTATTTAACATATCTATGCAGCCAGTTAAAGGTTATAGATAAGTTAAATGACCATGCCAAAGGTTAGCTGCAAAGCCTTTGCCGTACAAAACAGCTCTCAATGGCCCTGCCCCATTTGTCCCTTCCCCAACTCACACCTGGAGGGGGAAGGGGGGAGAACATCTAATTTGTCTTTCTAATTATTTCCTGGACACCCTGAATCTGGACCTCATTCTAAATTCCTTTTTGGGGCCCCACTCTTGGCTGCGCCCTGTTACAGTTGCCGGGGTTGGGTGGGTTTGTTCCTGTTTTTCTCCGGGGAGGAGGGGCTGGGGAGGGAGCTCCTCCACTTATCTGCTCACTGTTCCTGACTCCAAAAGGCTCTCCTACCCACCCAGTCTGGACTCTCATTTCCTTCACCTGCTCGTCAACCAAACTGTCACCTCTGTTCTGCTTCAACCACCATGGCCACACCTGGGGGCTTGTTCTCACCTGTCCTGCCTGCCTGCGAAATCTTGAATTCACATACTTCATTTTCTGACTACAACCGTCAATCCTTCCATCCCGCTCATTTTCTCAGCCCTTAAACAGGATCATGAACCCCCCTGAGACCTCTAGTTCCTGGCCCCTCCTCCCATTATCCCCCGGCCCATTTCAGCACTTCTGTCTTCTTGTCCATCCTTATGCATCTTGGACCTGACGTGTAGTTCAACACCACCCTCAACCCCCTTCTCTCCTGGACTTTCTATGCCCCCCTCAAACCTCTGGCTCTGTATCCCCCAACTATGCACCTTCTCTGCCTCAGGGCTTGGGGTGCTGAATATCAATAGATGAAGTCAAATGATTATACGTATTTATCTCATGATAAACACATGCTCTCTGGCCCCCCGAGTCCTTCATGCAACTTGGCACTGGGACACGTGTTTCTGCTTAGCTTGCTCTCTAGGCCTCTGGAAGCTGTCCCACCCCTTTACCTCACTCGGAAAATCCCTCTTCCCTGCTTCTACCACTCAGCCTAGCCTCCTACTTTCAGAGCACAAGCTGTCCTGGCGAGCTCCTTCCTGTCTCTGGACTTACCTGGGTAAGAGCTTGCTGGCCCTTCTCAACCTCCTACTGTCTAGGCAGGTGGGAAGAGCAATCTTCACCACATCTCCCCACTCTTTCCTGTATCTTGAGTCTCTCTGATGTATAAGACAGGTGAGAGGAGATTGATGGCTGAGAACATCGAAGCCCACCTTACCTGCAATTTTCTCAGGGTGAGTTCGGAGGGTGTCCATGAGTTGGGATAAGGTGCGAAGGTCTGTCCAAACATGGCCAAGCCGCTGGCTCTCTGGCGCATCCATGAAGAGTTTGTGAAAATCGCAATACACCCTTGCCAAGCTGGGAGAAAAACAAGGCCTCATCAGTAAAGACATAGCTGCCATTCTCATAATAATAATACCACCTTGTGCAATTTTTAAAGATACCATCTGCTTGACCTAGCTACCACATTATGTATTTTTATGATAGTGCCTCAGCAAAAGGAGAATAATATTTTTATTTCTTTGTATTGAATTCATATAACATAGCAGACAGGGGCAGTGAGCAATTCATTCAGTCCTCCAACTTTGGCAGGGCCAGGTCATCTCTTAAGCTCACTTTCTAGGTGTCTTCTGTCCCAAGAGGCTTTAAGAAGAATATTAGTAGCTATTACTGGAGGTTCTTTCCAACTATCACCCACTTCACTGAGACCTGCCCTTCCAGCCATTTACAGGGGGAGGGTCTGACAGCCTCACTTAATCCACAAGTTCCTCCCTGCATGTGTACACACACGCACACCTCTGCCAAGGCTGATTGGATGAGGAGAATGAAGCCAGGCCAACCAGATTTGTCCCCAGGAATTTAAATAATATTCAATGATGCTCTTCCCATTGCCTGAGGCAAGGGGCTGTGAACTGAACAGCCAGCACCAGCCCGGGCATTGGGAAGCAGGAGACACTGGTTCATGAAGAGGCAAATGACGTGGATGCCCAGGGAGAGACGAGGAGACCAGACCTCACAGGCCCAGATGGCAGACGGCAGCTCTGACGGCCCTTCAGTTCTCGTCCTGCCCCTCCTGATACCTGACTCCAGCACCTTGGCTTGTGAGAAGGTCTAGTGTCCAAATCATATATTTTCCTCTGGGACTTCAACATGTTTAAAGGGGTTTCTGTGCCTTGCAAGCAAAAGACCCTTGAATAAGCCAACATTTCATCTGTAATGTATGCGTGAAACGTGAAACCCAGATTTCCTGGTTCACATGCTGAGCACACACTGGCGTCTGAAGCCTCCCTTCCCCAGCTCTCACCCTTCAGTCCACAGACGCTGCCAGGTCCAGCCCCACTGGAGCTCCATCCGGCCTCACTGGGAAGTCTCCAGCGCTCCCTGATCCCACCGTGTGACCCATGGGATCTCTCAACATGGGCAGGCATTTCTTCTCAGGCCCCTCAAAGAGACTCAGGCTGAATGTGTAGATTGTGAATTACAGACTCCTGGCAGTCTTCGCGGCCATGGGAACCCAGCTAAAATGGCACCTCCTGGCTGTCCTAGAGAGACATGTGTCCCTTCTTCTACCCTTCTGTGATCCAGGGGTCAGCGAACAGTAACAGGCTCCTGAGCCACGATTTTGTCACAACCAGTCAACTCTGCCATTGTAGGGCGAAGGCAGCTACAGATTGTTTCCAGTGGGGAGGGCCGCCTCTGAGCATTAGGCTGGCTTACTAAATGTTCTTTTTTTTTTTCCAGTCAAAATACAGTTTTGTCCTGGAGGAATTATATCCAGAGGAAAAACTGAAGTAACAACATACCTCAGTTTCCATCTGCCCTTGGGATTTGGTTGAAGTCCACTCTACAGTAAGCCCTTGTGGGTGACTCTCCGGTGTGAGCCTCACGGGCTGCAGCTCGGGGCCAGCCCCGTGGGTGGAGGCCAGCCCCGTGCTCGCCCCTGAGCCTCTGTCTAGAGGACACGCTCACCTCATGTCCTCTCACCCGACGGGGATCCCAAAGGTAGACTTTCTTCCTATGGAGTGGACTTGAAATGCGACTCCAGACCAGAAGTCGTTAACCTGAAGTCCACAAGTCCCCTGACATCAATGTCATGTTTTGTGTCTGTGTGTTCATTCTTCCTGGAAGAAGGGCCATCAGTTCCCATCAGTTTCTTGGAACGGTCTGCGGACCCACAGGTTCAGAGCCGCCGCCCCGCAGCCACAGCCGCGGATTCTGCCGCCCGAGGGAGCTGATGGCATCTATGAGAGAGGACTTGGAATTTGGCCTTTTCTCCCAGGGAGCAAACTTCATCTCGTAAATCTTACTTAATTCGTCCTTAAAATATTCTCTGACATTTTTCTTAACCTTTAGATTTCCAAGAAAGCTTTTTTTTTTTAAAGGAGTGCTTCGTGAATTTGCCTGTCCTCCTTGCACATGGGCTATGTTAATCTTCTCTGTGTCGTTCCTGTGTTAGAGTGTGTGTTGCCTGATGGACACTGACCAAGGAGGTTTTTGGAGAAACAGGTGTGCCAGGACGGCCAGGGGGGCAGTGATTTAAGGCAAGAGAAGGAAAACTAGGTTTTCCTTGTTCTATGACTTCACCCAGGCAGACAGATGACCCAGAGGCAGTGGACACATCTTAGCAGGCTCCTGCCATCAGACTTCTGGTCACATCTTGGGAACAGAAGGACCGAGAAATTGTGTCCTGTGGTGTTAGTTTGAAGCTTTCTCCCCAAGTGCCCTGACAGCTAATAGAATGCTCCAGAGAGGAAACATGCCCTGCTCCTATGAGCTAAGGCTTCAGCAAGCCATGAAAACCTTCATTCAGCATGACAGCCTCTGTGTGTGTGCACGCGTGTGCTCCGGCGTGTGACGGGATGAAGGGGTGTGCAGCTTCTTCCTCCTTAAGGTGGAAATCGCAGCACTTACATGGAGTTGTTATAGTTTGACACAATTCCGGGAGATTCTCCTGGGGTGGGACTTTTAAAACAAGGATTGTTCACATTGCAGAAAATTCCCTGGAGCCATGGCAACATTCCTGCTGAGGGCATCGCCTTGTTGGGAAAATGGCCTGTAAGACAGGAAATGAAGACAAGAAGTTAGTCCTCCAGACCCAGTGGGATGAAGGTCTGGGGGAGGGGGCTGGGGCCTCTGCAGGAAGGAGTCTGCCCCTCTGGGGCTTTGCTTCTTCCGTTGACATTTAAAAAGCAGGAGTGACTGCATGGCAGGCCCTGCACTGTGTCCCGGAGGCAGGGCCGCTTCTCTCAAGCCATCAGTATAGTAGAAGACAGACCAATGTTCTAACAGAGGCATAGATGGAAGCGCAGCAGGGGGACAGAAACGAGTGCATCATTTTATGGTGGAAGGGGCAAAGGGATGTTTGCTCAAAAGGCCTCCGCAAGTTGCTGACCCTCGAGGAGAAGAGGTTCACCTGTTTCTTCTTATGAGCACCTGCCTCTGAGCAGGCAGGAAACTTGCAGATTGTAGGCTCCTTGAGAAGGGGATGGAGGGGGACGAGGAAATAGGGCAAAATTTCGGTCTTAGGACTCAGGAAGAAGAGAGTGAGGAGCAAGAAAAGGGGACTGAGCCCTTTGCATTACTCCTGAGGCCTCACACCAGCTGCCTAGGGGGCAAAGATGTCCCCCTGCCCGGAAACCAGAGGGACGTGGTATAGATAAGAGAGGCACTCACAGGCTCACCCTAGAGCCCAGGACACTTCGGGGCCCAAGAAATAACATTTCATTAAGCATGATTGTTATAGCATCCCTTTTCCTTATTTTTCTCTAGCACTGTGTATGACATATCCCTAAATTGGTCTATACTCTGCTCCCTTTAAATACTAGTTACAGTTTAGGACTAGAAAACAAAAGCAAAAAATCACATTCATCAGGAACCACGTACAAGTATTTGCATAGAATGTGTAAGAATAAATGATTACCTTAGGTAACACTGACCAATCTCTGTTTTCCGCATGGTAGGCAGGAAACGATAACAAGCAGCTATGATCCTGGCACCCCTCCCCCAAGACCTGCCTGAACAAAAGGGTGGGGCCCCCGGGGCTGCCGAGGTGGCCCCGCTGTGCTTACATTCATGTTTTCCGTAGAGTGGGTTCACATTCCTTAACCAGATCAAGACGAGAAATAAAGATAAAGGCCACGTGAGTTCCACCACAAAGCGAACCTGGATAAACAGAACAAAAAGAGAGAGACCAGTGATGCTAAGAGGTTATAGGAAGCACACCCAGAAAAGACACACCTCATCTCAGCACCTGTCTATGCAATGAGCCTTTGGGTATTTCCTAAAGGATTTCCTTTTCTTATCCCTTCTCCCATACTACCTCTACCACGATGTGTTAGACCAGCAGGACATGGTGTCCACCAGGGCTCCATGTTGCCTCTGTTTTATTTTGAAGATTTTATTTATTTATTTTGAGAGAGCAGAAGGGAGGGAGAAAGAGAGGGGGAGACACATCACTGTGTGGGTGCCTCTCACCCCCCCCCACCCCCCGCACTGGGGACCTGGCCCGCAACCCAGGCATGTGCCCTGACTGGGAATCAAACCAGTCACCCTTTGGTTCACAGGCCTGCACTCAATCCAATGAGCCACACCAGCCAGAGCTGAATGCAGTTTTCTAGAATAGAGGTAACCTGGCTGGTGTGGCTCAGTGGATTGAGTGCTGGCCTATGAATCAAAGGGTCGCTGGTTCAACTCCCAGTCAGGGCACATGCCTGGGTTGCGGGCCAGGTCCCCAGTGGGGGGTGTGTGAGAGGCACCCACACAGTGATGTGTCTCCCCCTCTCTTTCTCCCTCCCTTCTGCTCTCTCAAAATAAATAAATAATCTTTTAAAAATAAAAAAGAGAACTCAGGACTTTGATGAAGGATCATCAAGATGCGCGCTCCCGTGCTTTTTGGATGTTGCTGTGCAGGTGAGCAGATCCTGGTGCAGTGGGGCTCCACCGGGTTTCACCTGTAATGCTGATGCTGCAGGTAGTGAAGATCTCAGCATAAGCTCTCCTGTGGATACCAAAACAGAGGCCCGGGGAAGGCAGGCTACGGGGCAGCGTCCCATCAGCAGTGACGGCATCAGAACCAAAATCCAGCCTCCTGTCTCCAGGTCAGTGCCCTGCTCCTGCCCGCCGCCCTGCCTTCTAACGCACATTAGACTCTGCGTCTGTGGTCACCAGTAAGCGAATGAGTATGCAAGCGATTCTATGAAATACTGTGATCCACAGCAAAGTCAGCAGGAATCTAGGTTTACCGGTATTTCTCCTTCAGCCATTCCTCACTGCTCAGAGAAACAAAGCAGGGCATGCTGTTGTGGGTTTTTTAAATAGACATTGCTGCTACAAGCATATGGTTGAAAGTCGGCATTTGAGTTTAGGTTCAGTCTTGAGTTTGAGGACTCTTGACTGCAGAGGAAGAAGAACTTGCTGGTGGTCGCAGCCCACACTCTGAGCATGGCACACGGGGATGGGATTGAGCAGGAGGAAGGGGGCGTGGACTGGTGTCATAGCTCTTCAACCTAATCCCTGATCCAGAGACCTTAGGAAGAAAAGGCATAAGACTGAAAAATCTTAAGCAGGTGGCTAAGAATAGACTTAAGTATGTATAGATCAGGTAGAGGCTATTAGCAAGGCCATTTAACCATTTGTTGTTCCTTCCAAACAACGTACTCAAACTCTCAGCAGAACTGTGGAAGCCATACCGGGCGCTCATAAGTGTTTGTTCTTTCCCCTCTGTAAGGTCTGTCGGCAGCAAAGTTACCACTGCACAAATTATAACATAAGCCGATGAGGAAAAAAGGAAAAATGCATTGAAGAAAACAAAGCAAAAACTGTTCAGGGCAGGTGGTGATTATGGTGTTGCAACTTATTACAAAATGTTTTACTCAAAATATGTCTAGGGAGGATGGTGTTAGAGGAAACAGGAGATATTATGGGAAGAAGAAAGAATAATAGACTTTCCTGAAGGCACTCATTTTTCAGGGTCCCCCTACACATTCTCCCACACGAAGGCAAAACACCAAGGTTGAACAATTCCCATCCAGTGTTAAAGGGACTGACCCCAAGCACACTTGAAAGCCATTGGAATGTGGCAGTTCCTTCTGGGTATGCAAATCAGGGGAAGAGGGACGGAGCCTCCTCCCTGGTGACCCCATCTCACTGCTCACACTCTGCTCTCCCCAGACCAGACCAGCTGTTCCCACGGCAGCCCACACTTCCCGTCTTATCGCTCGTCATGTGCCAGGGCCACTCATGCTCCTTCAGGTACGGGCTCCTCTCACTGGCTGTAAGCCTCCCGAGGGCAGGGACCACGTCTGTCCTTGTCACTGCTGTGATTCTAGCACCCAGCACAGGGCCGAGCTCATAGTAGGTGTCCGATAAATATGGAATGAGTGACCCTTTTCCACGGCTGGTCTAGGAGGCTCCTCTGGGAAAGCTGGAGGTGACACAGAGGCTCAGGGTCACCGACGGTGTTCAGATTTAACAAACTGCACCGGCTTCACATCTTCTGTTCTAGATCCTCCCTGTTGCTAAGGTTGGAAAACAAGTCTGGCAAATTAGCCTCGTGAGTAACAGGTGCAAACAATGACACCGAAGTTGTTCCTGCTGTCTTTACCAAGAAAATGAGACAACCGGTCTAGGTTCTGCACATCTGACTGTTCCTAAGACAACTGCCTGCAACCTTGGCTTTCCATGGAGTCAGGCCGCCTCTTTCCGTGGAGCCAGTCTATCTGGGAGGAGTCTGCTTTGTTAGACATTGACGCTGGTTTGGGAATGGGCATATCTGGGTTAAAAATCACTTTTGCACTTGCTTAATATCTGCATCTCAGTTTTCTCATCTGTGGAATGGGACCATTTTGTCCTCCAGTTTACACCGAAGGTTAAGAGTGTGACAGTACTGAGGTTCATACCTGGCTTTGCTCCCTGGTAGCTGTAGGACATTACAGCTAACTTCTTGGTGCCTCCGGGTCTCATCTGTAACATGAACGGTGATGCCAGGACCTGCCCCCCAGAGCAGCTGAGAGGGTGAAATGAATTCACCGTATGAAACCCCTACGGCAGAATCTGACCCGAGGTAACGTGCAATAAACACGAGTCATTTGTTATTGACTCTTACCTCTCACAAGGGCCACAGGGACAACTGTAGGTGACGACATGTTGCAAAGGCTGAAGAGCCAGGAGATATAATTAAAATCATCTGCAAGCTCTTAGGCCTCCACTCATGCTCATGTTTTTTCCCTTTTTCCCTTTCTGGGTTCAGAGCAACTCGTTTGCCAGTTTGGAAGCATGGGGTCTCCTGATAAACTGACCACCAGCTGTCCTCCGCTCCATATGCTGGGGGGCTTGAACCAGGGCAGGGGTCAGCCAGCCTGGCCTACCTTTCCCAGGGATAAAGTTCCCAGGCCCGAGCTCCTGCATCTCAGCTCTCTCTGCAATTTTAGTCACACACTCTCATCCACTCACTCCCTTGCTCCCTCACTCCCTCACCGCTG